TTTTTTTTCAGGATAATTAGTATAGTCAACATTATACAATGTAGTCATTTTTGTGACCCTTTACCAATTTTTCATGAATCCCCCTGTTCTTCCCCCTTTCCTACCTCTAGTATCCTCAGTTCTGTTCTCTCCTTTTGAAAGTTCCACGAATTATTGTGATTGCTTTATCTGTTTTTCTTTCTTTTGCTTTTCTTGTTTATGTTTTAGGTCCCACTCGTGAGTGAGGACAGGTGGTATTTCTCTTTCTGTTCCTGGCTTATTTTACTTAACATATTTTATCTAAGTTCATCCATATTGCTGTGAATGGCAGAATTTCATTCTTTTTAAACGTGGCACACATACATAATGGAATACTACTCTGCCAAAATGTGCAATGTTAAGCCGTTCTCAAAAGTGAATCATAGTTAGGGTAAATTCTGGTGGCTGATTACCTGGGTTTAAACTTTGCTTTCACCTCTTACTTGCTGTGTGACCTGCAGCAATTAAACTAATTACTCTGTGCCTCAAGTCCCGAATTTGTAAAATAGAGAATGCAATAATTGTGATTTTTAAGGTTTTTTAAAATAAGGATTAAATGAGTTAATACATAATAAGTACTTAGCTTGGCATGTAGAAAGCAAGTAGCAAGTGCCAAATTTCTGGTTTGTTCCTGGCCACACAGAACAGCCAGTTAAAAATCAACATATACAATTTTTAAGGTCCTTTAAGAAAATTTTATTATATCTTAATGTAAATTCTAGTGAAAATTTCAAAGGCCAAAGCATTTCCTTCCCTTAATTTCTTCACATACTAAGGACATATGTGACACTGTTTTTAAGCTGTACCCTGAGAATGTTTGGCTTTGTATTCTTTGTACCGAAAGAGCCAGCACTGAATCCTGGCTCTACCAGGGCTGGCTGTGTACCTCAGGGCAAGTTCTGTTTTGTTTTGTTTTTAACCTTTCTGTGACATTGTTTTCTCATCTGTAATGATGAAATAACAAGAATACATTACCTCATAGGGTGTTGTAAGGATTAAATGAGATATTTCTGTTCTGAGGAGAGCTCAAAGAAATTAAGATGCCATGTTCAGGCCACCCAGGAGCTTCCAGAACAAATACAAGGCAACATTTTATTACAAAAGATCTGATTTCAAGGAGGGGTATGTGATTTCAGCTCTTAAATCAGAGAGGTTCAGAAAATAAAAGCACAAAGTAAATGCAAAATGTAACAGCAGCTAATGCAATCCTTGGAAAAGCCTGTCCACAACCACTTTGGGAAAGAATGGTAGATGATGCAACTGGGGTAAAGTATCACGTAGGAATATAGCCCACCAAGTTGCTCAGTGAGAAAGGAAGTGAAAATCCACATTGTTTGAAAAGGACTTTCTATCTTGTTGGCCTCAAACAAGATTAGGAGCCTATTTTCTAGCAGGATAAATTGTTCCGTCCTTGTTTTAGCTCCAGAGCCTCTCACTGGTCCTGGCCGATTCCAAGGTCCTGGGAGGAGCCCTAGCAATTGTTCATATGGTCATATGCTTTTGTACAATTTTTATAAATAAGACATTTTAACCACAATCCGTTTCTTTTCACTGAGACTTCCTCTATCACATTTCCCCTTTTACAGGGTGCTGTTGGAGTGACTACAGCATTTCTGAGATCCTTCTAAGGGGAAGTTGAGAGAATACATTTAATTTGGGTTCAGGGAGAAATATTTAGTTCATTTCAGGATATAGTTAAGTGATAGCTGGCCATTCTTGTATGACAACGGCTTCCAGGAATCCTGCTACAGGCATTGTATTTATTCACCCTGCTTCCTGTCATGACCCTAGGGTGGTATTGTCATATGAAAAATGTCTTATGCCTACCAGCTATGTAAATTTTATGGGTGTTGGAGTAAAGTCATGTTTCCTTTCTTCTTCTTAGCATGTTTTGCTCTAAGGTGGATGATATTCAGAGAAAGTCATCCAAAGCTTAAAATTCTTGTTTCATTTTTGTTTATTTTCTGTAAATACTTCCATTTATTAAAAAAAAAGAATGATCCTCTTGTCCTACTTTATTTTCTGTAAATACTTCCATTTATTAAAAAAAAAGAATGATCCTCTTGTCCTACTTTATTTTCTGTAAATACTTCCTTTTATTTTATTTTATTTTTTATTCTATTTTTTTAGTATAAGTAAGTCGCAAATATTGCATGGGACATACTTTGTTTTTTAATTATACATACATGTGGGGTACAATGTTGATTTTCAATAACTGTACAATGTGTGGTGGTTAGATCAGTATAGTTAGCTTATTCATCATTACAATACGCAATCATTCTTTGTGTCCATTGACCAATTTAAAATAGGGTGAGAGTATCATATATCTCAAAACTATATTATGTGGAAAATAGCACGGAGAACAGTGTCCAATTCACTCTAAAATAACTTTTTATACAATTGCTAACATTACGATCATTGTCATTGTCAATTCCAGTTTCTAATTTCACATTTTAAGTCAGACTTGCCATTTTAGAGAAGTACTTTTCATTTAAGAAATTTTCTTATAATGGAGATCTAAATTGCAATATTCTACTGTGTTTCTTAAATTTTTGATTTTATATATTAAGATTATAAAATATTCTATATAATACATTATAAGAAGATAAAAGGACATTATCATCTTTTCTTCTGTGGATTGGTAAGTAATTTCCATTTAGTCAAAACTTTTAAAACAGCAATGAATCCTTAGGAAAAGAGTACATTCAAAAGGGTGGAATAACAGCTGACACGTTGATTTGTCATTTCATTCTTACACCTGTTGAAATGGCTTTTTCTGCTTTTGTCTTTATCACAGTCCTGTGTCTGTAAATATGTAACTTACAATAGATGTGTTTCCAACAGGATTATAGTGAGCTGTATATTTTTGAAGCATATGTTCCACTGAATGTCCTAAGAATAGAAGTGTAATATTTTTATGCCCAGTTATTTCCGTAACACATGCCTTAGCTTAGCAAATGTATGCTATTTGTTCATCACTTTCTATATTAAATGAGATGCTACCATTA